TGTGTATCCTTTAAATATTACTTGCTATTTATGGTACCTCATGCTATTACTTAAGCTTTATTTGTTTCAAAATGAAACATATTGTAACAGGGAAGAACAAATCTGACTCCATATTGGATCTATTTATTTTTACTTTAACTTCTGTGTTCTATTGCTTTTGCTACAAGTTAAGAATTTACCTATAGCCTGAAATATACAGCACAGCCCATTCTCAAGGCTCTGATCTTTAAAGCTTTAGTACTTTATAGAGATTAAAAGGTTGCAGAATGGACTGTAAGAATGGACTGTAAGAATGACCTGACTTACATGGATAGTCTCAAGAACAAAGGATTCCTGCACCAAGAAGTATGCAACAGTCAACACCCTCCCTCCCCTTTTAGTACAAAAGAAGCCTGAATTCTAACACAGGTAAGATGATTCTTTGCAACACTAGCCCACCATCTTCTCAGTCTGCTGGCTTTCTGAATAAAGTCACTATCTCTTTCCTCAACAACTCATTCATCAATTTATTGTTCTGCCATGTGGCAAGCAGTATGAGCATGAAGTCGTAACAAAATTACCTATAATAAATGGAAAAGCAGTATCTTATGAAGTAAATGGATAATCATGAGAAAGGATTAAGCCTAACTATGTACTCTTGCTTGCCTACAATCTATTAACAAAGGATAGAGACTTTTAAGACATATCGGCCCCTAAAAGAGATGAATTTTCTCTTCAATTAGAAGTCTTGCTGGATAACTGGAAAACACACACATTTCTGTCATTTAAGTTTATTTGACCCTGTTTCTTTATACCACCTAAAATCATTTAAATAGAAACTATGGCAAACTTTGGAAAACACTCATCTATGCAAAGAAGAGCAAAGAAATAAAAAAATACATGACTTTTGTTACACATTTATCTAAGTTTACAAAGTGCTAGAGTGAGCAAGATTTAGAAAATGCCAAATGGAATTTGATGGATGGAGCATAATTAGTTATTCTCCTTCTGTTCCATAATATTTCCTGGCAATGCTTAGTCAAAACAGATCTGATAGCTGTGGGTAACATTCATATGTTAATACTGTGATGATAAGGCTCTGAACAACCACAGTTCTTTAAAAAAATGAAGGATGTATTTCAACTTAGATAAGAGATCTTCACCTACTCCTGTTGAGTTCATCACTGGACAAGCGTCTCCTTAATCCATAAAATTACACCTGTCACAGGAACTTAACTTCATTAACGCACCTTCACAGGCCATGGTAAATTATTAGCAATTCACAACCCATGATTCTCAAGTTCATTAACAGTGACTCTTCTGTATCTTTATGATCTGACTCTGACTTTTAAGGATAACTGATGGATTTTCCTGGTGGTCCAGTGGTTAAGAATCTGCCTTGCAATACAGGAGACATGGGTTTGATTCCTGGTCAGGGAACTAAGATCCTACATGCCATGGGGCAGCAAAGAGAGCTGCATGAGAGAGAGTTGCATGAGCTGCAACTAGAGAATCCCTGCCCCACAACGAAAGATCCCACATGACACAACAGAGATCCCTCACGCTGCAACTAAGACTCAGCGTAGCCAAAATAAGTAAATAAATAAAGTTTAAATTTTTTTATTTTGTTTCAAAAGAAAAAAAAAGAATAACTGAAAAACATTCAAAGAGAGTAGGGAGAATGTATAAAGCAAAACTGCCTCTGAAGCAAAACCTATTAACATGAAAACATCCAATCCATCATACGTTCTCCAATTATCCTTCAAGGAAAAGGAAATGGAACTTCTGGTGAGCTCACTATCCCCAAGAGCGGAGCATGATTCTTCTGCCTTTAACTCCATAAAGACAGAAGCAAAATAAAAAGAATTTAAAGGGAGGACAAAAGTTGAACATAGAAATGAATATATCATATTCAGAAAAGTCTACTTTAACTGTATACATAATATTAAATGGTAATACATGCACATATTAAAAAAAAATCATAGTCCAAATGGCTCACAGTAAAAAGTAATTTACATTCAGCTTTCTTCCCCAATTTCCCAGCTCATCTCCAAAGAAATCACAGTTGCCAGTCCCTCTGCTGAAAAAGTGTCCTTTTCTGGGTTTTCCCCAAATAGGTCATCAATACAGATGCTGTTATGCACCTTACTTGATATGAACAGGTATGTCAAAGACTATTCAGTATGTGTATTTACAGATTTGCATCGCGATACATAAAGTAATGGAGATATAGTCTAATTCTAGGATGTCACTAAAGGAATATTCATGGAGACTCTCACATGCAACAGATGTTGCTATAGGGTCTGGAAACAGCTACCAACCAGATTGGTGTGGTTTTCCATCTAAAAGAGCATGCATTCTACAGCTTCCTCATTAAGCAAAGCCTTCCTGGCTATAGTGTAACAACTAGAGTGAAAAACACTGAATAAACCTCTGCATCATAACATACTTTTCTATTTCCTACTATGGGTCCAGATGATGAAAGAAACCATATGTACTCATGCAGACATACACAAATACACATAAGTATGCCATGTATACATGCAGATACTGAAACACCTATATCACTTATATGTCCTATATACATATACTATCTATATGACACATTACAAAGACATGTAATATACTGCATATGCACATACATATAATAGTCTACATATGCACACAAATATAACATATTATATAGAGAGACTTATGTGTGTTTGTGTATGTCTACATGAGTCCACATGCTTTCTTTCATCATCTAGACCCATAGTAGGAAATAGAAAACTGATATCAGAATCTACAAATGGATAAGGAATAGCCTCCACAGTGAGTGGCATGGTGGTATCAGAACTGTGAAGGAGTAGCTTGACATTCCATTCAGGGGATTTGTTTCTTAAAGAAGATACTGATACAGATGAAAGGGGGGAAAATGGCAAGTACCATACATTTGTACGTTTCAATACGTTCTCAAGCTGTTGATTTTCTGTTTCATCTGAGGAAGTGTTGAAGCCCCTTGGGAATGCCTGTCTCAGTTGATGCATAAAAAGGCAGCTTACACCTTACGTCTTAATAGGGATGAGCTACTCTTGGAAAGTTTCCTTAATTTCTCCATGCCCAAGACAGACTGACTGAGTGAATGCTTAGCCAGAAAGTCAATAAAATGTTTCAAATGATTCAAATCTCTTTGCATTTCATACATAACACTACAATCACTGCTACTTCCACTAATCCCTACAGTAAATGGCAAGAAGAAACAAGAAGGAAAAAAAGCACCTTGGCTGGAATTTCTCCCAAGTCTCCCCCAGGCTCCTGCAACTTTCTGGTAAAGAAAAATAAAATATGTCTGTCTATATATCTATCTGTGTATGTATCATTTATCTATCCACCCATCCATCCATCACATTACCTATTATTTCTATAACTATCATCTATTTACTGTTTACCTATCTATCATTATTCATCTACCTACCTATCTATCCTCCTAATTTTTGCTAACATTACAAAGGAAACCCTTAAGGGAGCTGGCACCTCACTTCCCAACCCATATCACTGGCACAGACACTTTTGGATGTGACCTTATTTATAAGTTCTTGAAGGTACTCCATGTGGCAGACCATTACTACGTAAAGATTTAGGGCAGTACTCAGATACAGATCTCTTCTCTGCTCTCATCTGCTCTACAAGCACATCTTCAAGAAAAAAAATTCTTGAAACACTGGTCACAAGAGGGAAGTCATGACAGAGCTTGACAGTTGATAACCCAGATCTCAGAGCACCCATGTGAAACAGGAGCATGGAGGGAAATCCACATCATGTCACCCCCAAATTCGCATCAAATGCTCTTTGGAAACAAATCCCCAAAGGCAAACTAGACATCAGCTGAGATTCACGACCTCTATATTAGAATAAACAATGGAAAATAAACTTTTTCTAAACATGGAGCTAGGAGGTTTAAAAAACTGACTCCAGAAATAATGCTATATAGGTAGGGTTGGTCCATTTATTATTATTTCAATTGCCAGTAATACAATGAGCAAAAAAAACCCAACCAACCCCAAAGTGGCAAAAACAGGTGACCAGACCAAAAATATTTTGGAATCACAAATACTGCTGCTGCTGCTGCTAAGTCACTTCAGTTGTGTCCGACTCTGTGCAGCCCCATAGATGACAGCCCACCAGGCTCCCCTGACCCTGGGATTCTCCAGGCAAGAACACTGGAGTGGGTTGTCATTTCCTTCTCCAATGCATGAAAGGAAAAGTGAAAGTGAAGTCGTTCAGTTGTGTCCGACTCTTAGTGACCCCATGGACCGCAGCCTACCAGGCTCCTGAGTCGATGGGATTTTCCAGGCGAGAGTCCTAGAGTGGGTTGCCACTGCCTTCTCCGGAATCACAAATGAGGTTTCCGGAAACAGAAATAAATCAAGAACCACTGAGTTTCCAAGTCTCTCTGCCCAGCTGTGAATCAACTGTTTCTAATTCGGTGAGTATCAGAGACAGAGTCACAATTCCCTATAATTCCACAGCAGATTGTCCACAGGCCAATCAGAAAATGCCCACACAAAATGCAATCCTTACATTATATTTAAATTGACACAGCAAAGGTGGAAAGCACCTTTTCAGGCCAGGAAATCTACAAACTTCACTTGTTTGTTTGTTTGCTTTCTCGAGCAACTCCTGTTGGGAACACTTGCAAAATGGGCCGTTTTATCAGAGCTGCGCAGACTTTCCATTTTCCCTAATCGTACAGATTAGAAAGAGGTCACGATGCCGTGTAACATCATTTGGAGATAAACTCCATCTGCATGAGGTAGTCCCTGCAGGTGACCCAGAGTTGCACTGGGACTGTAAGCAGGTCCACCATGAATAATAGCTCACCTTTTTCCAAATGAAGGATTTCATCCATCTTACCTAGGAGCGCTAATAACACAGACGCACAGCAAATGCAAACAGCAGTGAAAGTGGCTGTTAATGACTGGGGGGAAAAGGAGGCCACGGGCACCGATAATCTGAATATACGGCAGGCCATGGGGACTCACCTTTTTTCTGAGCCAGCCGATTTCTTCTGACAAACGATGACAGCAGGTGCGTACTTCCCAGCGTAATCTGTGCTCTCCTTGACTTCCCACACGGAGGGGCTGCTGGCTCTCACCCCAATGACGTTCATGCCTTTCATGACCTTTACCCTGTTGGAGACAGCAAGGGCACAGCTGAGATGCCGGTGGGGCATCCCTGGACTACCTCTGCTTCTGGGGACACCCAGCACGTCATGGCACATTGTCGCCCGGCAGGTGTAACCCCGTGTTTAATAGAATTTCATCACCCGTTGGCAATTCCATTCCAATCCGTTCATCCTCCTTTTTTCTCCTGGGCATTCCTTCCTTTAACAGAAGAGCTAGAACAGAACAACAGAACAGTGACACAGGCAAGGGACTGGTCACATAAAGAAGTAATATTCTGATAGTGGATGGCTTTAATTAAAAAAAGAAATTACCTGAATACCCGTAGACTGTTAAAATTAAATAGAAAAAAGAAATTCATTCAAACTGCAAAAGTGAATGAATAGTAACAATGCACAGTTTTGGAAGGTCTTTTCCATGCCAGGTACTGATGGGCCCTTCCTCTGTATTATCTAATTTCCCAAGCATCATTCCAAGTTCAAGGGTGGAGGACAGGCCCTGCCGTTCAGACAGTTTTGAGAAGCATGCTAGTTCATAGGAAAACAGATGCTGACAGGGTACAGAGGCATGCCTTAATTCCCCCCCTTTTTTTAAAGATTTTTTTTAAAATGTGGACTATTTTTAAAGTCTTTATTGAATTTGCTGCAATATTGCTTCTATTTTATGTTTTGGTTTTTTGGCCACAAGGCATGTGGGATCTTAGCTTCCCAACCAGGGATCGAACCCACAACCCCTGCTTTGGAAGGCAAAGCCTTAACCACTGGACCGCCAGGGAAGTCCCTGCCTGACTTCTACTCTTGTGTTCCTCCCACGACATACTCATCGTCATCATTGACATCACCAGGACCATCATTCCATCATCACCACTATCACTTATTGATTCTTTTCCACACACTGGGCACTCTTCTGAGTTCATGACAGTTTTATCGCATTTCACTCCCACGAATGCCCTATGAGGTCAGGACCATTTGAATTTTCACTGAGAAGCTGAGCAACCAGGGGATCTGGCTGCAGGTGATCCAGGATCTGAAACGATTCCTGAATTACAGTGTTGGTCCAACGAGTCTCAGGGCTTTCCTTGGCATCACATAAAACGTCCTCGTGCTGAAGCCACTTATTTGAGCCAGTCAATTTCTTTTGTTAGCCGACACTGGCCAGTACCTGTCCTGAGATCTAACATCTTCTCAGACTTAATGACAAATTTGCCCAAGCAGGTGAGGCCTCCATACCAGACTGCTTATTATTTTTCTCCTTCCCTGGTGGCTCAGGCAGTAAAATAAACTTGCCGCAATGCCGGAAAACCGGGTTTGATCCCTAGATTGGGAAGATCCCCTGGAGAAGGGAATGGTACCCACTCCAGCATTCTTGCCTGGAGAAGGGAATGGCTACCCACTCCAGTACTCCTGCCTGGAGAATTCCATGGACAGAGGAGCCTGGTGGGCTACAGTCCATGGGGTCGCAAAGAGTCAGACACGACTGAGGGACTAACACTTTCATTCATTCACAGAAAGGGACAGATGACATGCTTGCAAATTTTTCCCCCAGACAGCAGAGCAGCAGGACGAGAGAGGCAGAAGGTGCATGGCAGTAGTGGTTCCCTCGTTCACCCTTAGTTTTCTCTAAGAGATCTCATGGGAATAAATATATACGAAATGGAAAGGATACAGTCAAAGGACCATGCAATAAATCGCAAACAGTTGGATGCACAAACTGCTGCAAAGAGTCATGCTTCCTGCTGTGTTTTCTTTGCTTAGTCCCTTGAGGAAAACATAAACGAATCTGAAGCAAGAAGGCCAAGGGGATAAATGGGGCAGGCTGATGGGTGACCAGGTGGAAAATGCTGCCAAGAGGGGAGCCTCAGAGGTATACTCCCCAGATTTATAGCTGTGGTACCTGTAATGACACAGAGACAAGGAGGTGGGTTCTGAGTCTCCATCTCTAAAATCCTCATTCTTATCACCAGATGAGATAAGCCAGGTCACCCCTAATATTAGGAGCAAAGCGGGAAGAAAAGATGCCACTTTTAGAACTGGGGCTTGGTGAGAAAAGGACTTGCCTGCAAGCATGAAGAATGCAATGTGCCATAGAAACAACTTGAAGACAGATTGTGCAAAGAAAAGTGAACACAGCAGGTCTGAGACTGCCACCCTAGAAAGGCATGCTGGCAAGGCTGCCCTCTGGCATCTGGATTTTGAAAGGGGTTTCCTCAACTCTTTAATAAGAGGGGCTCACTAAGTCTAAATTTTTTTGTGCAAGCAATATAGTTGATGGCAGATTCCTGCTTTCTTTCTGGTGGTCTGAAATTACCATGCCTGCCAGGCAGGTGATATCTAGGAGACCTGCACCCAGTAAAAAATTCTTGGCTCCCAGGCTTGGATGAGCTTTTCAGATAGACAACTGCTTACTTGTGTTGTCATAACTCGTTGCTGGAGGGATGAAGGGCATCTTGTACAACACCCTGAAAGGGGACTTTCCCAAACTTGTGCCTAGTACCCTGAGACTCCACCCCGCGTCTCTGTTCCTTTTGCTGAACTAGCTTTGTGTCCTTTTGCTATAATAAATCTTAATCCAATTATGACTGTACACTGAGTCCTTCAAGTTTTCCCAGCAAGTCATCAAACCCAGAGGAGGTCCTGGGGACCCCAAAACACATACTACTTTGCCTCGTCTAACAAAGACAAGAGGAATCACTTCTCACATTTGAACCCCAGCACTGAAGCTAGCATTTTTAGGTGAGCGCCATGCATAGCATTGCTTCTAGAGGAAAAACAATACAATGTTTTGTGTCATAAATAATGCAAGGAGAAACCAACATTTTGAATGAAGTCATTTATAATTTGGGGATTGTATGCACAGACTAGGAAGCCATCTGACCTTCTGGTAACACGAGCTAGGATTCCTGCCTTGCAGGAACTCACTGAAATTGTAAGCAACCAAGATGAGCGATGAAAAGAAGTTCAATTCACTACAGATAGCTGCTATTCTGTGAAGATGAATTCTAAGGGCTGTTCCAATTACTGTGCACTGAAATTTTATTGAGTCAAATTTACTTTAAATAAATAGGTCATCAACTTGGATTTGGCAATCTTTTCGTGATACAGGAGTTATTAGTACCTAAGCTTTTTCTGATATAGAATGGGCTCTTATTTTTCTTAAATTTTATTCATAAGTAGGTTATTTGGAATTCAGATACTGTTTCTCCAATGAATCATTTTTAAGCTCTTAGGAAAGAACATGGATGCTTATTTAACCCACGAAGTACCCAATATCTGTTGCCAATAATTCCAGTGCAGCTACCCTAAGCTATAATTTATAGCATTATTTCTAAAGGGGTATTATGAAATTGAGCACTGGGCACTCAGAAATTGCGCTTTGTGGACACAGAATGTTTTCATAAGAGAAGACACATTTCTATAGCATATTTCAGGTGTTCTGAAGTGGGCAAGAGGTCCCTGCTTGAGAAACATCAGTGAATAGAGTACAAATATCAAGAATGAATGTAAAAAAAAATTTTAAAAAAAAGAATGAATGTGTGCAAGAAACGAGAGTGGTTGTTTCTCAGAGACACATCTATGGCACACACTGAATATGGTTTGTGTTGGGTGCTTCATTTTGAAACAGTCATCTCAGCGCTGTAAGTAGCAGCGTTTTGGAACTATTAAGATAATCCTCAGAACACATGAAATTTGGCTCCGCTGGGTCTGAACCAAATGCTACTTCCTTCTTTTGTTGATGACAACTGAGTTACTTACATTCATTAGTGGAAGTTTTATAATCTACTTGTGGTTCAATAAATACAGGTTACACTGACAGCTTCACTACATAGAGATAAACACAGCACTCGATTTCCAAAGACATTTACTACATATTTACACTTAATGGTATGTCTACTGTAGTGCCTGGGGAAAAAGCCATAATTTCCCCCCACAGAATGCACATGAACTGTGGACTGGAATAAATAAACACTGCTTGGCTTAAGAGTATATTTTATTTCAAAAATATAACAGAGTTATTGTATTTATATAGGTATATACACAAATATATCCATAGGTAGATACAAATATACATACAAACATAAATACACACAAGCATATACACACAAATATAAACACATAGATATACACATCATATATACACACATGAACACATACACACACAGACATATACAGATGCATATACACAAACACACACATATACATACACATGCACAAGAAACATATATTCAATGTGCACACACAAATATACATGTATATACACATAGACATATATACATGAAAATATATGCACACACATACACACAGTTATATACACACATATTGACATACACAGACATATATACATGCATATAAACACACTCATATATACACACAGTGACATACACAAGCACAAATATAAACACATATATATATACACATACTTGCATACATACATAGAAACACACACAGACATATAGAAACATAACACATATATATGTATTTACACATATATCTCCTCCATTGCAGGCAGATTCTTTACCATAAGTCACCAGGAAGTCCATATATATACACACACAGATATATATAGACACACATAAACAAATATTATGCATGCATATATGCATATATTTATATATACATATAGATGCATACCCATATTCACACATGCATGTACATGTGTGCTTGTGTGTGTTTCATATACAGTATCCAGTAACAGTTGAAACAGCCAGCAGCCTGGGATCAGAGCTGTGGTGTACACCTGTTATTTCTGCTCTCCCACATTCCATCCCTCATATCCTGGGTAACAGAAGGATGCTACATGCTTCCAAGTGTTGTGGATTTGGTTAGTGGCATCCTTTCCAATTAACTGATGGGAAACCTGTCACTTCTCATTGGTTCATAGCCCAAAAAGCCCCTTTGGTTCAAAATAAAGCTGTTTTGAATTCCTCCCTGTCTCCTTACTTATCTTCCCTCATTAATTATGAAAAAGAATTAAGTATACTGTGTTTTCTCATATGCAGTAACTTTATT